CAGGCCTCCCACACCCACCTCACCACCAATTTGGATCACTTGTTGTTCCCTTGTCCCTGGGTTTGTTAACACCACTTCCTTTCCCCCCACCTCCCTCTATCCCATGTCCCCCCGGAACTGTCGGTCTCATTGTTTTCTCCTGCAGATTGTTCATCCAGCCTTGTGGAGATAATAACATGCACAAAAACAAGACAGAGCAAATCCAAGCAACAATATACAACAAAACAACAACACCAACAAACCACTGACAAAGAGCAAAACAAAACACAAGAAAGAAAAGCTTGTAGTTAGTTCAAGGATTGTTTGTTGGCCTTTAGGAGTGTTTTCCAGTCCAGTCTCTTGGGGCACCACGCCCTGGCCCCAAAGTCCACCTTCAGCATTCTCTGAGGACCTTGCCACTCCATTCCCTCGCTGTTCTACTGCACGCCCCCAGTGCGACAAAGCCAAATGTAACAAAATATATAAAGATCTAAAGTTAAAAAATCAAAAGGGAAGAACAAACAGTATATGTGAAACTGAACTAAAAAAACTCAAGCCTCAAGCGGCAATATTGAAAGATTCTATGGGAAAAAGATTGAATGATGCAGGAAGCACCAAGAGAAGATGGAACGAATACACAGAGTTACTGTAACAAAAAGAACAAGTCTTCAGTCCATCATTTCAGGAGGTAGCATATGAGCAAGAGCCAACAGTGCTAAAGTAAATAATTCAAGTGGCACTGAAAGCATTAGCCCAAACCAAGAAACTAGGAATTGATAGAACATTGATTGAAATGTTTCAGCAAGCTGAAGAAGCACTGGAACTCTCATATGTCCATACCATGAAATTTGGAACCCAGCTACTTGGCCAACTGACTGGAAGAGATCAATATTTGTACCCTTTTCAAAGGAAGGTAAACCAACAGAATGCTCAAATTACAGAACAATATCATTGATATCTCATGGGAGTAAATTTTGCTGGAGATCATTCAACAATGATTGCAGCAGTACATTGATAAGGAGCATTCGGAGATTCAGGCTGGATTCAGAGAGGATATGGACCAAGGGATATCATAGCTGATGTCAGATTGTTCTGTCTAAAAGCAAGTCCCAGAAAGACATTTTTGCGTTTCATTGGCTACGTATGCAAAGGCATTCGACTTTGTGGATCATAATAAACTGTGGATAGCCTGAGAAGAATGGGAATTCCAGAACACTTCATTGTGCTCATGAATAACTTGTACATGGATCAAGAGCCATTTATGAAAACAGAACAGGAGAGTTCTGCATGGTTTAAAATCAGGCAAGGTGTATGTCAGGTTGTATCCTCTCATCTTACTTGCTCAATCTGTATGCTGAAAACATTACCAGAGAAGCTGGCTTATATGAAGAAGAATATGACATCAGGATTGGAGGAAGGCTTATGAACCTGCAATATGCAGATGACACAATCTTACTTGCTGAAAGTAAAGAGAACTTTAAGCACTTGCTGATGAAGATGAAAGATTGCAGGCTTCAGTATGGATTACAACTCAATGTAAACAAGACCACCATCCTCACAAATAGACCAATATGTAAATTCACGATAAATGGAGAAAAGGTTGAAGTTGGCAAAGATCTTGTTTTGCTTGAATCTACAACCAATGCTCATGGATGCAGCAGTCCAGAGAGCCAACGATGTATTGTATTTAGTAAATCTGATACCCAAACCTTTCTAGAATATTGAAAAGCAAGGAGGTTACATTGAGGAAAAAAGTATGTCTGACCCAAAGCCATGATATTTTCCATTAACTCATATAAATGTTGAAATTGGTCATGGGATAAAGAAGACCAAAGAAGAACCGAAGCATTTGAATTGTGGGCCTGGAGAAAACAGCTGAAAGCATCAGGAACTACTCAAAGAACAACTGCTCTATCTTGCAGTGAAGTGAAAGGGTATCGAAAAAGAGGAAGGCCTGCAAGGAGCTGGATTGACAGTGTCTGCAACAATGGGCTTAAGCATGGGAATACTTGTAAGGAAGGCACAGGACCATGGCGTGCTTTGTTCTGTTGTAAATAGTTCGCGATGAGTCGGAACCAACTCTATGGCGGGTAACAACAACAAATTGGAGACAGTGGTGGTTGAGATCACTTAGATGGCAGAAGACTTGCTGGATGGGAAGTAGGATGACAATAAACCAGAGCCACATGCAAGCAGAATAGTCACAACTATGATACAGTTTCTGTGAACATAATTATTTAGGATCAGATCCCATGATGGCAGAAAGGTCATTAGTTGAGAGGCAGCATGGTGGAGAGGTCTGACTAGAGCAGCGGTTCTCAACCTGTGGGTCACTACCGCTCTGGTGGTCGAACAACCCTTTCACAGGGGTCACCTAAGACCATCAGAAAACACATACATTTCTGACCGTCTTTGGAACTGAGACACCACTCTTCTATCTGTCTCCAGGAGGGTCAGCCCACATGCAGATACATCCACATATGAGTACCCAGCGTGAAGACTGTTACCCATGCTACACCGTGCTTCAAGACAAAATTTCATTTATTTGTAATTTGAAATAAATATGGGAGAGACCAAATGGAAGAGCTGCTATACTGACCTTGCGAGAGACCAGTGAGTAGCAGAGAGACCCCAGGGTCAGAGAATTGACCAAGGCACTTATCAAGACTTGTATCATCAGGGAATATTTGTGTTCCAAGGGTTGTCTGCTGATAGAGCTCCCCTGGTTGGCCAACTACATACAATTTGTATCTTGTTACTTCCTGATTAATTTTGATCCCAATGTGTAACCTGTTTCCACCCCCAATAAACCACATACCTGTGAGTGCGGTATGAGTCTGTACAGCTAGTGGACGGAGTTGTCAAACCCAGCTGAGCAGGGAGTGAAGTACAGGGAGCTGTTTGGTTTAGAAATGGTGGAGTACAAAACGCAAAGCCTAAAATCCAGTTTTTTAATTCTATTAATCACATTTCATGTACTGCTAGACATGTGTGACCATCCCTACCAAACTGAACAGCAGAGAGAATGACCAAGACTTCTTGGTTTTTTGTTTTTGCTATGACTCTGAGAGATGAAAGTATAGTGAGAGATGTGTGGATATTTATATGTGTGTGTATGTATATGAAAAATACATATGAAACGATAGTGAGAAATCATCATTTAAATGATCCCAGACAATGACATTTCAGAACACTAGTTTACATGATTTGATATTTCCCAGCACATAGAAAAATTATATCTATTTGAAAGTGAATGAATCACCTCCTGAACCAGTGTGGAGGCTGGATTGTACGGAGAATATTTAAACACAGCGCCCTTCACCGAGTGCATGGAGGCGGGACCGGAAGTCCGCTCGCACCGCCCTGGCGTGCATTTAGGCCGTCGGCGGCCGCCGTACGTCCGCGCTGCGTCACCACGCCCCTCGGAGCTGCGGCGCGGCGTTGACTTGGGTTCTGCGCACTGACGGAGGTTACCGGAATGACTGAGTGAGGAGGAAAACCTGTGCGTTTCTGTCTCTGAAGCTGGCCGAGCGACGCGCGGACGCGCGGGCGTCAGGACCGCAGGGTTCCCGGGGCAGCGCCGGGCGGAGGGGCTTGAGGGGAAGGAGTGGGGGGATCCGCGCTTTCTGGGGTCCGACTCGGGAGAGCGCTCCTGTATCACGGCCCGGGCTGTCCTGACCGTCAGGGCCAGAGGTCTTTGCGCATCGCGCTGAACGATAGAAGTCACTGGGTAAGTAACTGTTCATAATTGTATCATAACTTCTTAAGTTCGGAGCGGTCCACTTTGCAAAAGGCCGGTGGTCCAGTGGTTACAGATTGGGCTGCTAACTGCAAGGTCAGCGGTGCAGAAATACAAGTCACTCCTGGGGAGAAAGACAGGGTTTCTGATCTTGTAAAGACTTTCAGTCACAAAGGGCAGTTCCACCTTCTCAAAAAGGGTCGCTGCAGTCGGAATCCACTCGATGGCAGTGAGTTGGGTTCAGGTTTGCGTTGCTGATGGCAGTGACCACTCATTGTCCATTTGCTGCGTCCCCACTTCGATTAAGCCTCCATTGGATTCTTTCTGATCATTAACCAAGGATGTAGGTCATCTTCCCCTTCCGGAGAATGCCTTAAAAAGTACATTGCCTGCACGCTTCTCCAGCCAGCCGCTCTCCACGGGTCTGCCTAGGTGTGTCCTTAATGGAGGTCACCTTATTGAGGACAGAACAGGGGCCATTGTCTTGAGTCTGGCCTTGACTGGCTTTGTGTGAAGGCCCTGGACCAATCTTTTTTTTTTTAATCATTTTATTGGGGGCTCATACAGCTCTTATCACAATCCATCCATCCATCTAGTATGTCAAGCACATTGGTACATTTATTGCCATCCTCATTCTTAATACATTTGCTTTCTACCTGAGCCCTTGGTATCAGCTCCTCATTTCCCCCCTCCCTCCCACCTCCATCTCTCACGAACCTTTGATAATTTATAAATTATTTTTATTTTGTCATGTCTTCCACTGTCCAACATCTCCCTTCACCCACTTTTCTGTTGTCCATCCCCCAGGGAGGGTGTTATATATAGATCTTTATGGTCGTTTCCCCCTTTCTACCCAAGCTTTCCCTTACCCTCCTGGTATGGCTGCTCTCATTATTGATCCTGAGGGGTTTATCTGTCCTGGATTCCCTGTTTCCAGCTCTTATCTGTACCAGTGTACATCCTCTGGTCTAGCTGGATTTGTAGGGTAGAATTGGGATCATGTTAGAAGGGGAGGGAGGAAGCATTAAAGAACTAGAGGAAAGTTGTATGTTTCAACGGTGCTATACTGCACCCTGACTGGCTCGTCTCCTCCCTGCGACCCTTCTATAAGGGGATGTCCAGTTGTCTAAAGATGGACTTTGGGTCTGTACTCTGCACTCCCCCTAATGCAGCCTGGGGGTTAAGTGGAGAAGAAATGTTTTGAGAATGATGAGGGCAATGAATGTACAAATGCGCTTTACACAATTGATGTGTGTATGGATTGTGATAAGAGTTGTATGAACCCCTAATAAAGTGATTAAAAAAACCAAACAAACAAAAAAAGGAAATAGAGGAAAGAACTAGGAGGCAAAGGGCATTTATAAGGTCTAAATACAGGCATGTACATATGCAGATATATGTACATATGGTGATGGGGAAATGGATCTATGTACATAGATTTATAGGTTTAGTATTAAAGTAGCAGATGGACATTGGACCTCCACTCAAGTACTCCCTCAATGCCAGAACATTTTGTTCTATTAAACTGGCTTTCT